GGTACATATTTATCACTGTGCACCACTCCTAGAACTCGAGGATGTGCATCCCTCTTATATAATAGTCCACAAATCACACAAGAGAGATAGACCACATTAAAAAAATTCCGTGTTAGAGACTTGATTAACTAAGAGTGATTGACAAAAATCAAACTAGTGACTTTCTAATACTAAAATCATGCTTTATTCACTCAGTTACGTTATTTTTTCTGGGCAATGATGTGAAGTGTTAATTAATGACATTATGGTTTAATTGAACCCTAAAGAAAAGCAAAACAAAATAGAATAACTTGTCACTCTTCATAAATATCCATTTCTAACATTAGTCATGATGATGGAGTTGATTACGCCAATCCAAAACATTAATAACTTGCATGCCTTAAACTCTTCACCGGCCACTCTATCTATTTATACATCCGATCCCCACTCAAATTCTTCCATGCAAAAGTAATTTACAAAATTAAGCTTTGCATGTGATGAACAGTCCCTTTAATTTATTGACTGCATTAATTCAATCTGTGAACGAAGTTTGTTCTCAGTAGATAGGAAGAAAATAAGGGATCCGAGATCATCAATTTCACTTGATTCTTCTCTGTAAATCGATCTCATGGCATTTCCAATGCATCTCTTTCTCACCCTGCTCTGCATTTCATCGTTGATTGGTGAGTAAAATTAAACCACGCTAAAAAATTGAATCCGATTAATTAATTTGACGGGGTTATAACTTTATAAACACATGTTTCTGTCTTATTTTTTCAGGTGAAAATGGAGGAGTTGATGCAGCAACTTTCACGTTGAAGAATAGATGCAACGTGACGATATGGCCGGGGATTCAATCAGGAGCGGGGCATCCCGTACTGATGAAAGGAGGGTTAGTGCTGGAAGCGGGGCGGAGCGAGAGAATCGACGCGCCGGCGGGGTGGTCGGGGAGGATCTGGCCGCGGAGTCGATGCGCGTTTGATCAATCCGGGAGAGGGACTTGCGGCACGGGCGACTGCGGCGGGACCCTCCAGTGCGACGGCGCGGGTGGAGCCCCGCCGGCGTCGCTGGCGGAGTTCACCCTGGACAGCCCGCTCGACTTCTACGACGTCAGCCTCGTCGACGGCTTCAACGTTCCCCTATCCGTCTACCCGTCCGGCGGATCCGGGGATTGCTCCGAGGTCAAGTGTCTCCGGGACCTGAACAGGTCGTGCCCGCAAGAACTGCAGGTCCGGTCCACCGGCGGCGAAGTCATAGCGTGCAAAAGCGCATGCATCGCCTTCAACCAGCCGGAATATTGCTGCACCGGCGAGTACGGCAATCCGCAAACATGCCAGCCAACAAACTATTCCCGTATATTCAAGAATGCTTGTCCAAGAGCTTATAGCTATCCATATGATGATGCCACGAGCACTTTCACCTGCACAAAAGCAGATTACTTGATAGCTTTCTGTTAGAAATTTAATATGCAGTCTAACTATTTAATATGCAGTCTAACTATCAGTTTATACTTTTAGTCAAAGACAGAACATACACCTATCTAGCAGCCATGATGGTCATAAAGGCTGTTTAATTTCAAGAAAGCTTTATAATCATATATGAAAGATTGAAAAACATACAACTATATGAACAAATTCTATAGCTCAGATCATACTTTGGTGACAATTTTCCAACAGAGTTAGTTGAGCAGTTGGCTTGGTAGCCACAAGAAAAATGTGGACTATTGATCAATCATATTACATTTAAAACTACCAATTTCATGTGAATCAATATCGTGGCCGAAAAGCCTTGAGTTACATACAGACAACCTAACTATGAATCAAAAAGATCGGATGATGGAGATGTATTCTCATGCAGCAGAAGATGCTTCACCTGTGCTGGTATATGACTGCAAAACCATGGCTGATGAACCAATTCTGTGAAGAATCAGTTCTATGAAGATCTACAGCAACTATATGAACTCCCAGCTGATACAGGTTCATGTCCAGTCCCAGGGAGAACAATTTGAGTTCCCTTGAGAAGGGATGAACTTCCAGCTGATTCTGCTTCTTCATTGGCGACAAGAGATTTTTTGCTGACAACCCGGTAAATCTCTGTCAGGATGTTGAGGAAAGCTGTCTCGACATTGGTTGAGTCGAGGGCGGATGTTTCAATGAAGAACAGATTCTCCTTCTCAGCATACTCCTTGGCATCCTCTGTAGACACAACTCTGTCACTCTCCAGGTCAGTCTTGTTGCCCACAAGTATGATCACAAGGTTCTTATCAGCATGGCCACGCAGCTCCTCTAACCACCTTGCAATATGGTCGAACGTTTGACGTTTGGTTATGTCATAGACCAGCATTGCTCCCAGTGCACCTCTGTAGTATGCACTTGTCACCGCTCGATATCTGGAACCAAACAAAGATGCAGTTTCAGAGAGACTAATTAACAACAGGAAGAATGCAGAATCCAAGATAAAGTTTCTTGTGAAGGGAAATTGACTGAAATGGGAAGATTTGGTGTGATACATATGAAAATAGGAAGATCTTGAAATCCGAACAAAAATAGGTAAAAACTAGTTTGGAAATGCAAGTCCAACTCCGTCAAAAATGCATTTCCCAAATGCGTTTAACCCAATTTCAAAACTATTTTTCCAGATAGTTTTGAAAAATGATCATATGTCAAACGCTATCACAAGCATACTAAGAGATTCATTGAGATTATGGAGACAAGCAAATTCTCATCTGTTTCCAAACAAGTTCAATAATTAAACAGATGATCAGAAACTACATCCAGTTGGACAAGAAGTGAATTTGTCTAGTTCAATCAAGTTAAATCAGATTGCACTAATATGAATATGCAAGACTACACAGTTCAGTGATAGGTGATAATTTGATAAAGATCTGTCAAAAAGCCAAAGGGTTTTCACAGAACTAAGCATTTGTGTTTCCATATCATGAAATAAGATAATCCGCTAAAATTTAATCCATCTCAATGTAGAGATACGCGAAAAATCTAGATCAATCGCCACAACAATACACCTAAGCAATAGTTCAAGCATAACAAAATTACTCCGAATTTCAGTTTATTCATATGCTCGATGGATAAACGAACGCGACAAACAGGCGATACAGAATAGGGAAAAGTAGTACTGTAGCAGTAGTAGTAACGGAACCTCTCTTGGCCGGCGGTGTCCCAAATCTGAGCCTTGACGCTCTTGTCATCGATGACGACGGTCCGTGTCTGGAATTCGACTCCGATGGTGGCCTTGGAGTCGATGCTGAAGTCGTCCCTAGAGAACCGCGCCAAGAGCTGCGACTTCCCGACCGCCGAGTCTCCGATCAGCACCACCTTGAACACGTAGTCGATCTTCTGATTGTAGTCGCCTCCGCCTCCGTACATCCTCGACATCGTGGAAATCAGACCAAGAACCGATCGTCAAAGACGCCAAAAGATCTTGAACTTCTCAGGCGTTGGAGATTTAGGTCTGATTGAATGGGAGGAAGATGGAGGAGACGAGGTGTTTGACGAAATGGTCAAATGGTAAAGCCGGCGGAGTTGAAAATGGTTTTAGTCGGCTGACAGCTTTCCAAACCGTTTGTCTAGTTGGACTTGGCGGCGAAGGGCGTGTACTAACGGCTTCTTGCCGGAACTCGGAAGATATTTTACTCTATTTTTTGAAAAAAAAAAAATCTTATTTCTATTACATTTTAAAATTCAATAATATAATTTATAGAAAATTATATAATAATAATTAATAATATATGTTGAGTAAGTAATTAAACATTTACCACTTTTTATTTTTGAAATATGGTATTTTCACCTCAATAACATCTTCATTTAATTTATAATAAATGTTATAATTGTTTATTTATTAATCATTAATTGATATTTATTTATTAGTCATTTTTTTTAATCCTACTGGTTCTATTACAATGTAGTATCTATTCATTAATTGATATTTATTTATTAGTCATTAGTTAATCTAAATTGCAAAATTTGATACCAAAACTCAGTCTTAAACCAATATTAACCCTTTGATAATCCTCAAATCTCTGCCAATATGATAGTTAAATCCTACCCACATTGTCTATTGGAGTTTCATAGAATTTCTCTGCTTCGCTCTCTTTTGCATGTTGTATTAATAATTTAATATTTATATCTCATAAAATATGACCACTCCCACTAAACTTTTATATTATTTTTTTTCTTCAATTTAGTAAGGTTTGAGATTTCTTCGACATAAGATTAAAAATTAATTTACTTTGAAAATAATTTCGTTCATGATATGTATATCCTCTAATCCATTTTAAAGGTACATTAAATTCTATCACAAATCTCAATAATAAAAGCAAACTATTTAACTTAGGCTATATTTGAAAACTCGAAAAATGATGAGTTTTTCTGATTTGGATGTGATTGAAAAACTCAGTCAACAAAAAACATTTTCCTTAAAAAAAATCAAGTTAATTTGACGAAAAATGACTTCCGCCAAATATTCTGCCAAACATACAACAATGTTTCTTGCGAACGCCAGAGCTATACTTTTCGACAAAAACCAGAGAGAAGTTCCCTCTGGTTTTCAACGGGGAAACCAAAGAGAGTTTCCACCTGTCCTTTTTGTTTTATTTTGTTCTTTCAAACTTTTAAATAATTTTTTTTTGAAACACAAACTTTTAAATAATTAATATTATTTGATTTCAAAAAATAAATATTATTATAAAAAAATTTTATTTTAAACAAAATGTTTAATTATATAATTCTACCTATTTTTTAGAAAATGAACAAAACATACAAAAACAGTTTTCTGCCAAACACGAGAAAAGAAAATATTTTCCGAAAAATGACTCATTTTCCAAAAGTCATTTTCCTACTTTCCAAACCAACCTTAGTCATTTTTCTGCTTGTCATCCTCAAAAACCATACCAAAAAACTATAATGGGGATGCTCTAAGAGTCTAAGATGGCAAGAGCAACATAAAAGAATAAAAGATGGGGCAAGGAATGAGATAAGACATTCATTAAGAAGATGACCTGGAGATGGGCCATTATGATAAATAAGCAAGCAAGTTTAATTTCAACACTTAATACAAATTTGCAGGGAAGTCATTCAATCTGTAAGGACACAAACTTTAAAAGTGGATTCTTTTCCTGAAAAACAATATAGACCGAGAGCTGGGGTGCTTTGATGCAGAGGTGTTATTACAGCATTCCATGGCAGATACGATTGGAGAGATCAAGAAATCGTCTCAGTAATACGATTTCCGAGGATTGTTCTGCAACAAAATAGAAATGAGATGTGGTGAGCTTTTGCTGGCATGTTCATGTTTCAGGGGTTAGTTGCGGCATAGAATATGAAAAAAAAAAAAAAAACTAGTTTATGGAAGGTAATCTTTTGGTGTCTCTATAAATGTGGTGAATCGTACCAAAGGATTTGGCCTGTATCGATAGCCCAGCATCATCCGCTTCTTGTACTGCTCATAGATATCGTCTTCTGGAGTGACCTCCCCGGGATTATGAGCACCAACCCCGAGGTTGTTTGACTTTACTTCACCTGCTGTAATTGGATCAGCAATACCGCTTCTAGAGCTTCCCAGACCTTCACCTGCAAATCACAAAGATTGGTGAGGAAGGATGAGAGATCATTGAAGTAGTTCGACCAAGTTATGCTCAATCTAGAATAAAATGGTCTGGGATTTTTGAGTGACGAGAAACCCCGCCTTGTGACTCTAGCCAGCAAGGACCACAAGGAGGTAAACTAGCCTAGGTTGCCTATATTCGAACCAAGAAAACCAATAGGCTGGGAGTCGAACTTGTAACCTTGTAGTTACCAAGTTAGCAGTCTGATCAACTTGGTTGGGGTTGCCCCCAATGATATGGGATTTTCATACAAAAAGTATTTTACCTTCTCTCCATCCCATTTTTGATAACAGTTTGTGACCGATATTATTGGCCTGAATTTTGTTCCTCTCAGCAATCTCCTTGGTTGCTTTCTGCGCAGCAGCATCATTGCAGTTAGCCATGAACTTTGCAAGCTCTTCGGGTGGGATATAGTCTCCCATATGATGCCCTTTCTTGCCAGAAGAAGCAGCAACTGTGCATCATAAAACATGAACTAAGAAATTAGTATAGTTCCAATGAAGTTAGCCATATCAGTAATGCATCAATAGTTGTAGATTATAACAACATCAAAAGAAAAACCTTGAAGGGAAGGGGGTGGAGGCATCTCATCCTTTGATGACTTTAGGGGCCTCAATTTCTCTTCTTGTGCAGCCTTCTTCATGTAAAACTCCATCATTGCTATTGGATCTGCTGCTGTTGGAGGATTAGGTTCACCTACAAATAGATCCTAAATGAGTAAAATACGAGAGAATGTATGTTCGAAAGAATCTGCATCTAACCCTCTCACCATATCTTCCAGTATATGCATCCTCTCTAGAAGCATCTGCTGTACCATACAAAGCTGATGCTGGAATTTGATAATTCGAGCGTTGCTGATATGACCTTTGAGATCCGCTACTTGAACTTGAGTAAGAAGTTTTTGTACCTCCTGTGAGTGTGATGGAACGACAGAAAAATACATCATTTTAGGAAACGAAGACAATGTAACAGATTCTTTAAAATATCCCAATACACAGCTGTTTTAGATAGCAGACTATATTAGAACTTTACATTATCCAAATAAGAAGCCAAGAAATGAATTGTATGAGACAGAGAAGCAAACTTAGTGAAACAAACACGTACAAGTAAGAAGCACAATTGAAATGGAAAAAAGGAGAGGAAGTCACGCATGACTAACAGTCTAGAATTAGGAGATTTGGAACAAAAGATGAAAGTTAACTGACCACTTTGTGCAGTTTGAGAGTCAGTGGTTTGTGACAGAGCCTTTTCCTCTTCACCAAGCCGATATTCATAGTATTTGTAATCAGGACAACTATCATCAAATAAGAACCTGCAAGAGTCCAATATATATATAGATGGTAAATTTCAGGATATGCTACAAACTAAACATGAAAAACAAATTACAGTCTTCAGGTATTTAATCAAAGAGCGGAAAAAAGAGAAAAACGAACTACAAAATTTTATTATCAAAGTTAAATGAAGTAGACAGACAAACAAGTTACCAATATATAGTTGTATACACACAAGGTAAATTTTAGCCACAAACTAAAAATTCATTCAAAGTCAACACTTGGCCTAACACCAGTTGAGCATCTACAGCTAGCCAGGAGGCAAAGACTGCCTCCAAACCAACCTATAAGGAAAAATAAAATTCAAAAGCAAAATAATCTGCATTAAACTATACCTAACCCAGGTAATGTACAAACTGCATATGCAAATACACTTATACACATGCAAGAACAAATACTGGAAAATGAGGATCAACGCCATAACACCGCAGCAGTCAGTGGATTTTCAGAACACAAACACAAGGCACGTACAATCCACCAAAATGTCAGGGAGTGGATTTTTTTTAAAATCAAGAATTCCACTAATAACACAAGACAGAAAGTGAAGCAAAGATCACCAAAAAGGGATCATGTAATCAGAACAAAAGACTAATAACCATTCAAAAAGGTTGCAAGGGCATACTTAAAGGGAGTGTCTCCAGGATTCTTTTGGCGTGTAATATCCTCAAATTGCCTTCCATTCTTGGCCACAAAACTTGCCAATTTGTCTGCAACTTTCTTCACTGTAGGATCACTTGGCGGAGGTGGTGCTGCATGTCACTTAAAGAACTGATTAATACCGAGAGCATGAACAAGTGAATGTAAATTACTCTTGTAGCAGGCGTGCGAAATTTTCCAAATCTTTCATTGAACATCTCTTTCCCACCAATGTTGACAGAGATTAAGTTATACACTGCATTCATGAGACAAGAATAATTCAAGAATGTTTTGTCCTCTACTTATCCATCACCTCAAGTAGAGAAACACCAATAGAAATTCTTCTATTGCAACCAAGGGAACATTTTTGCAAAACTATTACTCTCTCTATGATAGCAAAATTGAACTTAAAACAAGAATAGTACTAAAAAAATTCCCTATCTGCACATCCAGAAAGACAAGGAATCAAAACTAGTTTTCAGAATCAAAGTTGCATTATAACACAAGCACTTTTAAAACAACTTTTTTTTGGTACAACTTAGGGGAATGAGGATTGAACACATGACCGATTATCTAAAGTCACAAACTTATGCCTCCAGCCTCTAGACTATAATGTTTTTTTATTTCTGGTGTTAAAACTATGAATATCAAGAAAATCTTTTCAGAAAGGTTTGCCATTTTAGTGGAATTAGTAATGCACACACATAGGTGCAGAAATTAGAAAGTTGTGGAAAAACCATTTACCATTGAAAACAGCTCTATCTATCAAGTTGTAATATGGTGGCCAAAATTCAAACATTCATAATATAAATAATTACCAACATCAAATTGCCTCAATGATTGCACAGAACCAACGGGCTCATCCAACTTTTGCCGTTTAGATGGGGCATCTCCAGAAGGATTTCCAGCATCCTTTTCATTCTCATCCTCATCTTCACCCAACTTAACAGAAGGTGCCACAATTTTAGACTTCTGTTTTAGGCTGAATGCAAGTTTCCCACCAGAAGGAGCAGGAGTGGGCTTTCGAGATTCATTGCCCTTTAATGCAAAGCTTGTTTTATTAATGATAAGCTTGGGAGTTGAAGTTCCTGACAAATTTGAAGCTACTTTTGAACTCTTTAATTCAGTGTCTGTCTTCCCCTTCTCCTTATCCTTCTCTTGTTGAAGCTGTTTAAACCTCTCCATGAATGAACCATCATTAACAAAGAGGCTAGGATCTTTTGCTTTCTCCATTGACAAAACTTCTACTACGAATTTTTGGTCACCACAATGTTTCACTGCTTGGCAGGCACTAAAAAGGTATTTAGAGACAGAAATACATAATTTGAGCTGGCAACAAAGCCAGCCCAATCCAACAAAACCAAGATCCTTCCCCCATGCAATAATCGGAGCTCAAAACCAAAAATAGTTACAAGGATGCATATATGACTGACAAAACCATACACCAATACACTGCTTGCCAACAATCATCTGTATATAATGCATTGAACTAACAAACATCATTTTTTTTGTGTGGGATGGGATGGTTCAACAACCTCATACCTTGTGTAGCCCTCTCAAACGAAAATAATTAAACCAAAACAGCCCAAATTTGTTCTAAAACGACGAGGGAGAAGAAAGTAATGATCTTGAAAATGATTATATATAAAATAAAATAAAAAAAACCCTAAATTTTACAACAACCCCACTCAATGAAGTATTATCATAATTCTACCATCCAAAGTTTGACAATCAGATACAAAACGACAAATAAGAACAATTCAACCCATAGTTATAATTTAGCTACACGAATTTAGAATCGAAAACAATTTTTTGATCTGCAATCCTCAAGATTTTCTACCTGGAAAGGAAAATCAAGAATCGTCTCCAATTCAGTCTTCGATTGGATTGTGATCAGTGCAAGAAAGGATGATCGGGATGCAAACCAGAGATACATGTACTGACATACAGGCGAGATATTGTGTGATGGCAACGCACCCTTCTTCGTCGGGTTGGATACAACGTATGTTAAATGATAGGACGAGGAAAGGAGACCATGTGACTTTTGAGCTTAGGGTTTGCAGGATTGGATTTTATGTAGTGAAGTTGCACCGTAGGTCCCTGAATTTGGCTTTATTTCTTTCTTCAGCCCTTAGACAAAAGTCTACCACTCCTTTTTTGTTTTGGTTTCCTTTTTTTGTTTTTAATTATAATAAGGTTTTATGTTGCAAAAATTATTCTTAAGATAGTGAGGATGTTTTTCTATAAAATTGTTATTGTACTAGAACATTCAGGGGGCGTTTGGTTCAGGTCGTCTTAGATTATCTAGGTCATCTGAGTCTGATAATGTTATATTACATTGTTTGGTTCAAGTTATGAGATTATCAAGTAATGTTATATTACCTGAAAGCTGATGTGGCGGTAATATTTCAAGGTAATGTGATTACCCCCATTTTTTTAGGTAATCTTAGATTACCTTGAATTATTCCAACTTTGTCCTTGTTAACTAATCATTATATTATTATTATTATTATTATTATAATAATAATAATAATAATAATGAAATTAATATATGTTTATATAATTAAATATACATATGTGTATATTTATATATATTTTTTTTAATATTTAAATTTTGATATACATTCATAGATATAAATAAAAAAACACACATAATATATTGATGGTTTTATTAGGACCGGGTCCACCATAAACCGAGTACAGAGAGTACAGAACGGAGGGTAGGGCGCTAGGCCCAACACGATATGTATAGAAGCCCGAGGTACAGGCCCAAGAACAACGACCCAAATACAAAGGATAAGGCCCACAAGGTGGGCTATAGCTAACTATGCTACTAACAGGAATCGAACCCAGGTGACTGGATTGAGAGTATGAGACCAAGACCACTGGACTAGTGTGCCTGTCGTGTCTGAGTTGCCCCTTAGCCAAAGATCCAGGGCCCCTATTTATAGCAAGCCCCCCTCCTCCTCTGGCGTCCGCGTGTCCCACGTTGCTCCTCCCCCACTCCGCTTGTTTGTCGCCATGCATGTCACGTCGCCACTATCCCCGCGACTCCCGCATCCTCCACCATGCACGCCGCACCTACCTCCCCCCTCAGCCGTACCTACCTATCCCCTCACGCCGTACCTACCCCCCCTCATGCCGTACCTACCTCCCCCCTCACGCCGTACCTACCTCCCCCCCTCACGTCGTACCTACCTCCCCCCCTCATATCGTACGTACCTACCCCTCACGCCGTACCTACCCCCCTCACGCCGTACCTACCTCCCCCCCTCATATCGTACCTACCTACCCCCTCACACCGTACCTACCCCCTCATGCCGTACCTACCTCCCCCCTCACGCCGTACCTACCTCCCCCCCTCATATCGTACCTACATCCCCCCTCACGTCGTACCTACCTCCCGCACCTATTTCCTCTCGCCTTCCGGTCCATGTTCTTCACCCTGGCCCACCATGCGTGCTTGTCTTCCTAGCCCAACAAGACTTGGTCTAACTTCCTTCTTTCACCACCCCCACTTAGATCAATACTTTCCCAATAAAATGGACCCCTAGGGTCCCATATCCCCATCATATATATATATATATATATATATATATATATATATATATATATATATATATTATTGAGGGCATTATTATAAATTGATCCATATAACCTAAAATATAACCCTGAACCAAACAAGGTAATATTAGATTACACCATCCAAACCAAACACACAAGGTAATCTTACATTCCCAAAATCTCACATTACCTTCCAGGAGGTAATCCTATTACCTGGGGTAATCCAAGATTCCGTGAACCAAACGCCCCCTCAATGTTTTTATCACATGTCATAGTTATATATTCTTGAAATATTTATTTTTATAATTTTGTATTGATATATGCTAAGATACCGAATGACACTTTGATAAATTATGAAACATTAATTTCAAAATACACATTGAACATTAAATTATTCGTGTGTGGTAACTAATATAAAAATAATGTTCCATCCACTTGAAAAGTCGGTTTCTTTACTTGTAGGCTGTAGCGCGACGATGGAGTGTATGAATGACAATGGGGCGAGTGGGTGCGGGGGATATATTTCCCGCACCCACATTCCCAACCCACTTCCCGCACCCCGCGTGGGTAATGAAATTCATACTTCATACCCGTCCCTGCAGGAATTTTGCGGATGCGAGTAATACCCAACCCGCAACTCTCGATCTAATTATTACTATTACACTTAAATCTAATAAAAAATTTAGAAAAAATTGCACTTTTCCCCCCGAGTTATTCATACATTTGCTCCCTCAATTATTATAAAAGTTGTGATTTTTTTTTCTCTTATATATTAAATGGACATTTATACCCGTAAAATAAATATTTTATTTATTTATCTTCTTTAACAAATTATTGTTTATACGGATTGATGACTACGGTTCGGTTCGAATTAAATCGGACACTATAGCAATCAAATCGAAATTTTTTTGTTATGATTCAGAACCAGAACCCAATATTTGAGTTTCCGTTATATTAAAATCGTGAACTAAAAAAGATAGATCATTAATCGTGAACCGGATGTTCAAATCGGAACAACTACTAGCATTAGCTTAAAATTAGAATTATAATAGTTGCAAATAGTGTATGTTCTTTTTTCGCATTTATTCTGATTCTCACATATGAATATATATAAACGCAATTTGGTTTTCATTTTGAACCGTCAATTCACGATTTCATATCCAATTTGAATTACTGGTTCAAACTTTCTTTTAAACTTGTATATTTTTATTTTTAAAATATTATAAATTCAATAATTAATATATTTTAATTTTTCAATTCAGAACATGAACTGTCAGTTTCAGTTCACGATTTTAATAAACTCTAAATATCGGGTTATGGTTCGAAATTGTCATCATAACCTTTCTGTTTGGTTGTTATAGTGTCTGTTCGGTTTGAACCATATCGTGGTTATAATTTGTTCGAGAAGAAAAATAAATGAATATTTATTTTAAGAGTAAATATGTCCATTTAACATAATATGATGGAAAACTATCACTAAGATAATACAAAGGGAAAAAGTGTTATACGTATATAACACATGGGAAAAAAGTGTCATCTACAATTCTAATTATCATATGATTTTTTTTTTTATAAGTTTGAACACAACTCTAAAATTTAATAAAAGCCAATAAAGTTAGTCCTTAATTGGAACTAAAGTTGTGTTGGTAGTATCAATTATATTAAGTGTTTACTCATTATGCTATTTGTGTTGTTCATATTCAATTTTCATAAACAACAAATTAATAAGTTTAATTCATTGTACATTTTAATCGTAAAATATACATAAACTTATATAATAAATGAATACTAATAACAATATATATAAGTGCGGCCGTGCAGGTGCGGGATATCTCCCCGCACCCGCCCCATACCCGCGCAGGTATACAAAATTCCCCCTATACCCGCACCCATTACCCAAATTATGTGCGTATTTTAAAATCTGTAAGGGCGAGGATGCGGGAAACTCATTGAGTGCGGGTAGAACACGGGCTTAGCTCAATGGTTCAATGAATATTATTTGAGAGAAGAAACCAAGGTTCGAATCTCAATAGCGGTAGTATGAGAATTATGTTTAAAGTAAGCAGATTCCTTTTGCGCACCGACATTATAAAATTCAAAAATTATGAATATATAAATTTATAGTTAACATAGAACAAAGGTAGAAGAATTGCCATCCAGCGGTGAATGCTGGTGATAACTGATAAGTCTGAGCTATAGTGTGTAGAGGCGAAGGACAAGGCAAGAGGAACGGACGATATATCGCCGAGTCTCTGCCGGCGATAGACATGGCAATTGGCTTGAAAACCTTAAACTCCATTGCCGTACCTATCAATCTCGCCTCCAAAGCCTCTCTCCTACGCCCTTTTCACTTGCCTCATCAGCTCCGCCACAGATTCCATTTCCCTATATTGCGTTCTGCTTCTCATTTTTTTCCATTGTGCTCACTGCGTAAGTAATTCCGCCTATTACTCGTACTCTAGCTTCTTCTCGGTAAATATGAATGCGAAGCTTCATTATAAAGTCTAGGTACAGATCATTTATTTGTTCTCTTTCTGTTCTAATTTGCAGCTGAAAAAAGCAGTGCGAAAGCCTTGCCTAATGGAGCTGGTGTGGCTGTGAGTGAGGCTTCAAAGAATGGTCTTCTTCAAGTGGTTTTAGTTTCTCCTCAGGTTGCTAACCGAACTGTGAATTCCTAATCTGTTAATTATTGCTCCTTATTTTTTTTAATGTTTTAAATGCCTATGCAGTCATAAATCACAGCTGCACAAGAAATAATTTCATATTTAGGACATGATAGTATGCTCTATGAATCATTTACAGTGGTTCCTCTGTCTGCAAATTTGAAGCTTTTTGTTGCTGCATTGTTATAAACACTGCTTAACCTGTTGGACATGTAAATAATAGCTATCATTTCAAGATGAACTGTAGACAATCCAAACATGATAGTCTTTGAAAGAAGTACTCAGTTCGATTAGTCCATCAAGACGACACACACACAGTGCCTAATCCCTCGTTGAATTGTAGGCACCTCTTTTGGGTGGGACAAATTGTTCTATACTTTCTCTATCTGTTGTAGAACAATGAGTCAATACCCCACCATCGAGGTTCGATCCTGTGACCTTCCCTCAAGGAGAGCCACAAAGGTTCTATCTGAGCACAAGGTGCTTGGCGTTGAGCAATTGAAAACCTGGGATTGTATTTTGATAAGTTCAAAGTTCAATACATACTTGTTTGATAACCAACCAATCAGCCTGATTTAAGCTGAACTTATCTGGATTTTTTTTGGGGGTTATCTGTTGCTTACAGTGGAGGACTGGAAGCAAATTGTGAGATTAGATTTGGTACACTATGTTTTTGCATTCAGTCTACAATTCTGACCTTGTTATTTTGTTGTCAATGTCAGTGATGTATTTATCACATTCATGTTCTAGCAGGGAGCCAATCGGTGTACAAAACTAAAAACTATATAAAATGTGTTCTTTTAGCTTGGTAACATTAACTGCCCACTGATCCCTTGCCTCTGATAGATTCCTGGAAATGTTGGAAGTATTGCGAGAACTTGTGCAGCATCTGGTGTTAAACTCCACCTGGTTGAGGTAGCTATATATAGAGTTTTAGAGCTGAATAGGCTATGTAGGTACTTTAATTTCTTAATAAGAAGTCCATGTTGGCAACTATAACCAGCTTAGCTCTTTGCCTTTTCCAGCCATTAGGATTTCAAATTGATGATACAAAGCTAAAGCGTGCAGGACTGGATTACTGGCCGTATCCTTTGCAGCACTTCGTAATCTGTATTTGTTCATATTAATACTGTTTATTTTCATAGTTTGTTTAAATTTTGGCCTTTTAGTGCTTATTACTGTTGTGTAATACTGGCATGAAATTTCTACCATAGCAAACTGATGCAGCAGGTTGGCCAAATCAACTGCAGAGGCTTTAATGTAGATATGAGTTGAACTGTTGAAAAAGCTGAGAGAAACAAGTATAGTACGGAGTAATAAATAAAACAAGATAGAGAAGAGAACAATATGATAAGAATAAAGAGAATAGCTTTCAAGGAACCCAAGAGAGCTCAAGCATCTTCATATGAAAAAGATACAATGTCGACTTCCACACCCCCTTCATTACAAGAGACTATATATAGGGTAGGCGTAGACTTTTTGTTGCACTGCTATCCTAGAAAACAAGTCCACTCCAAATGGGATACACAACTTTGAAGAAATCCAGAACTCATAGCATAAGTACTAAGACTTAGGATATGTATTGCAGCATATAACAATAGATAACAAATATGAAGACTCTACTTAGCAACTCAGAAGCGTCAGAAAGCATGACTGCATCACTTAGAAGAGTCAGAAGGCATGATTAATATTTTGGGCTTCTGTCTGCTTCTGCATCTGTAGCTAGCTTTGGATGTCTGGCCGCCATTCATCTTCCCCCCTTTTCCTCTTTAGTTGATACTGTATGCAACACCACAAACTCTCTCTCTCTTTCTCTGTGCATCGCCAACGCCTTTTGCTGGTCACTTAAGATAGTCACAACCTAGCAGACCTCTGATCTAGGATGTGCTTATCACTTGCTGAAGTGTCTCCACTCTCCAAATATTTGTTTTGGCAAGCTCTACATGGTGAATTTTACTTCTAGTCATTCTTACATTTTCTTTGAAGACTATATGTACTTAGAGAAGAGTGTCAAAATTAGCGAGTAAAAAAGTAAATATGATAAACTTAGATGTGCATAAAATTGGGCATGCATGCATGCACAATTGGATCAAAGGGAGGTGATAAACTGGACATGTATACATTTTGTACTCTGCTTATTTTTAAATTGGTACTATAACAAAGTTTTCAGATTTTAACTCTTCACATCAGATATGTTGTTGTAAAAGTGCATCAATCGTGGTCCGAGTTTCAGGACTATTTCAGCGGACAGGTGTCTTTTTCTGCCCTCAAATCTTAATCAGTGAAATTAAAACCCTTCTTAGTTCTTCCATTTTTAATTCATGGGGTTTTAATATAAATATTTTTCCACTACAGACTGGGGACAAGAGGCTTTTGGCATTTACTAAGAGAGGGACAACAATCCATTCAGTAAGTACTGCATTTGTGTTATTACATTTGTTGGGTTCAGATTCTCCAAATTGAAAATTTTACCGCAAAAGTAAGACATTTTTGCCTTAGAAAAGAACTCAGGAATAACAATGTTGTGGCTATCTCCAAAATCTCTGTATTATGTCATAATTGCTAGCAAATATGATTATAAGAAACACAAGGGGGCTAGCAATATACAACTTTATGATTCAGTGTTTGCTAATTCAGTGAAGAGCAGATTTAGTAAAAACACAATTTGAAAGTAACTGATAATTTTGGGTTCTAAGCTAGCTCACCACCTTAATTGGATAAAGTGGAAACTTGTGACCTGTGGCCTAAATAAATTGTGCCAGAGTTCAAGTTGGATACTCCCCGCATAGGAATGACCAGCCACAAGTCCAGTATTTCAGTAAAAATGTACCAGCTTGACTGATATCAAGAGATGAAAGAGTCTTGCTTTTACTTTAAAATTAATCAGACTTCTTGTGACTTGGAGGTCTCAAAATAGGACTTGCATCACTTAAGAAGGGCATATAACCAGTGAACTTAGCATGTGAGGTTGTTCATAGTAAAGAAATACTCCATGGAATATAAGATCAAAATGTACTCTTATGCCATAGTGAAATGAGTAGGTAGAAATTTTCTTTGTACTTTGGTTTAAAATGCAATTTTATTGAAGGACATAAATTTTATGTAATATCAGGACTTTTCCTACAGGAGGGGTGATTGGCTTGTATTTGGCTCAGAAACTAAAGGGCTGCTACCCGAAATCCTGCTTGATTGCAAGACACAACCACATGGCGGGGGGACCCTCCGGATTCCAATGGTTGAAACATATGTTAGGTGCTTGAACTTATCAGTGAGTGTTGGCATTGCTTTATACGAAGCTTCTCGACAAATAAACTACGAGCAGCTTCAGTCTGAGCCAGAACCTTGTACACATATATCATTTACTACCGAAGATATTTTTGCCTAGTTTTTTTCTGCGCACTATGCAAAAATGCTTCAATATTCTTTTTCTCCTTGTACACCTGATTTATCATTGTTCTCTTTGATGTTCAAGTTGAGTTGACCTTGTACCAGTCATACTTGCATTGAGAGGAAAAGATGGTTCAATGTCTATCTACTATAAACACTGTTGCAGAATACAAAAGATGGTTCAATGTCAATATCACTTTTATAGATATTGAAAACTTAAAATTTTGTAATAATTATAAAATTGACTTACTTTTCTTTTACTAAAATCTCAATGAGTTGGTAAGTTCTTCTTTTACAAGATGACCATATTTTCATTTTATACATAGATACATATAATGGATAAAGGCTACAGATATTTTCTTACAAATAATGTGTTCAATCTCAACTAAAAGAAATTTACATAATAATATGACATTTCAAACTCATGATCTTTCATAATGTCTCAACTAGAAGAGTCTTAATGAGCTGATGTTTCAAATCTTAACCAAATGCATGTTCTCTTTTAGGGATAGCATATCCTAAAATAGACAACAGGATCAAACTAAATTCCAGAGCTCAACAGTAGCATCAAATTCAAACCACAGATATAAAAGGCAGAATGTAATGGACATAATAAGCATCTAACAAAGTTGAATCCATAAATAAGAAAAACACCCAAACAACAAAGATCTAGGATGTGACAGAGTGATTGACTGCAAAATTAGAGTATTCAACAAACAAAACTGTAGATGTATTAAAATCTCCTAGAGGATGTTATTCACTCTTCATCGTCGTCAATGATTGCGGTACCCAAGCCCTTGAGTCCCTCTGGGGGAATTTCGGCAACAGTGACCAATGAGTAAAGCTCCTCCTTGGCATCTTCGTCGTCATTTCTCTTTCGTGCAATGCGAACACGAATTCTCCTTGGAACACTTCGGATCCCTCGGCTCCAGATGTGTTTGTTGAGCTTCACATCAACCCTAACATCAGTTGTTCCCATTGCCTTTTGGGCAAACTTCCTGATTTCCTTTATAGCATTGGGAGCCTTCTTCTTGAAAGTGCTGCACATAAAAATATGATGGGTGTGACTGAAGATTATACTAAAAATGCATGACATAACTATATATGGTAGGACTCGTGATGAGAAACAAGAAAACAGGGAGGGTGTCCTTTGACACTCATGTAATATACCCCAAAACTCAAAGAGGTAAAAAATGGTACACTCTTCACACGCAAAAATACCAACACTACCGCGATAGATAGTGCATAAAATCAGACTATTTATTGTGCCAATTCTAAATGTAACCATAAAAAACACAAAAAGAAAAAGGGTAAAGTGGAAGGTAGCTTACAGGTATATACTTGTTTTGGAACATCCAATATAAACTTATATTCTTGTAGATTATGGTTGTGCCAAAAGTTTTTTATCAACCTTTACCCTAATAATATGAGATTAACCAACTTAACCAAACAGATTATAGTCTTGAAGTTTAACAATAATAAAAATACAAAGGGTAAAATATAATATCTATTGCCATCTTTGGACACAAGACTACACTAAAATGGTAAGTACCTCCTTTCATCCTACCGGCAGCATTTGAGTTAGAAGGCCATACATCTTATTTCAATCTTCATAGTTCTCTCCAACATATTACAGTATAAATAAGTCCAGGCAAGGGTGACGCACAACCATGGAAATATGGAATACAAGTTGGACTCTTATTAGAACTAAACAAGCTAAAATGTTGCATATTAGTGTAGAAGCACAATCTTATATGGCCACTACAATTCTAATCGCACACCAATGTGGGGTATGATATCACAAGACAATAACACATAAGCTTCCTCCAAACCCAGACAATATAACATATTGGTCTTCAATGACTTAGTACAAAACCCTAATCAAACTTACATTTCAGATCCCCAACGATACAAACCCTAACCTCACTTTAATTGTAGAAAGAAAGAAAGAAAGAAAGCGTCAAAGACAGATTCAGCGTTAAGGAATGCAAATCAAGTTCAATTGACAGATTAATAATGCGCATACAGAGAGATGAGCATACCATCCATGCAAGCGTTTATGGAGATTGATAGTGTACTCTCTCGTGACGACCTCCTCCTTCCTGGCTTTGCTCCCCTTCTCCGCCATTGTAGCAGCTCCGCTTATCTCTCTCTCTCCCGAACTCCTAGAGTTGCTCCGCTGCTATGTCTCAGCTGCCAGAGAAAAACCCTAGTTGTTATAGTGGTGGATAGTTTTGGTCCACTCTCCCTGAAATGCCCTTCCAGACTTTGGGCTTGCGCAGGCTCGTGGGCCACGTACATGGCCGTCCAAAAGCCCAACTGCTTTGATCCAAAGAGAAAGGGTAGATTTTGGCCCAATACATGCGACCAGAAATCATTATTGTGTGGACCATATTTTGTAATGTGTAAAATAATGTACATTCAGTACAAAAATAATGTATTTTTAATATATTAAAAATGTACACGATATTCAGAAAATGTATATTATTTGTGTACTGAGTGTATATTATATTGTATAATGTACATTCAGTACACAAATAATGTACATTTAGTATATTAAAAATATACATTCTGTTATGGTCCACACAACATTGTGCGGACCATGGTCCAGTCAATAATTTGCCATGCGACCAGGCAAATTATTGTGTGAACTATAACAAAAAGTACATTATTCATGTACTGAATGTACATTATACAAAATAATGTACTTTCAGTACACAAATAATGTACTTACCCTTAATATAATGTACATTTTTAATATATTAAAAATACATTATTTGTGTACTGAATGTACATTATTTGATAGTATGGTCCACACAATAATGATTGATGCGACCAACAGTCATTATTCTATGGACTATGGTCCATAAAACATGAATAAAATGTACATTTTCAATATACTAATGGTATATTATTTGAAAGTACATTATAAAATTTGCAATGGGATCAATCAATATTTACTTATCAAGTCTGTTTAGGAGAACAATGAGATTATAATGGCTAAAGTAGTCATGATCAAATTATAGTGGTGGTGATTAGATTGAAGCAATAGTGATTAGAGTTGTGAAAACGTGTTTGTTTGTAAAAACAATGGTAGTGGTGAGATGTTAATGATAAAATACATTTGTATACAACTTTGATGAGAAAATGTTTTCAAACACTCCCACCACCAAACCATTTGGTCTTGTGAGAATTTGACTTTAATTTGGGTGGTTAGACGCATTGAGTTTGAAGTGTTTCACCACCCTAATGGTTAAACTTCCAAACACCATCCAAAAGGTACTTTTGTTAGGTATTTATGATATAATTATAAAATTTTAAAGTGTGAATCAACATCAATATCTTTTGTATCAAGTACTGTTATATATATATTATATTTAATTGCAGAGAATAGTATTGAAACTAATGTTGATTGTATATGATACAACCAAATAGCATTCAGGCATGGTTGTACCTTGTAACTTTGTAAGCTTATACAAGAAAGAAATATGTAAATTATTGTTGGAATTATGGTGCACGACTTATTTCTTTGGGAGAAGAAATAATATTGGGCTTGGAGCAAAAGAATAAAGCCCATGGTAAGGACATGTTGGAATAGTGATGTTGTGGAACCGATGGTGCACACGATTGTAAAATGATGTCGTTTTTGATTAAAAACGTGCGTCTTATTTATAAAAAAAAAATTGAGTTTTGATTCCCCTCAACAGTATTATGTTGTTCATTCATTCTGGATTTTTAATTCATTCATTGTGGATATTTAGTTCATTCATTGTAGATATTTAGTTCATTCATTCTGGATTTTTAGTTATTCATTCATTGTGGATATTTAGTTCATTCATTCTGTATTTTTAGTTATTCATTCACTGTGGATATTTAGTTCATTCATTGTGGATATATAAATTCAAATTATGTACAAAAAAATGCTATTGCCGGGAATCAAACCTGATTTTTTTTTTTTTTAAGTTAAGCGGGACGCGCGTTTTTAGTCAAAACGACGTCGTTTTTGCAACCGTGTGCAGCATAATTTGCGGACATGTGACATCCAATCGTTATATCGTGGATCAGGGTCCACAGTGATCCTGGTCCAATACACAGAATTCATGTTCATAATACACATACACATAAATATGATATAATGAGCATGAAATTTGTGCATTATGAACATGAATTTTGTGTATTATATAACTAAGGACATGTAAACACTTAACATAATACACATAATTCATGTTCATAATTCACAGAATTCATGTTCATTATATCGTGTTTATGTATATGTAGTGTATTATGAACATGAATTCTGTGCATTATGAAGTCAAATTATGTGTATTGGACCATGCACTGTGAACTCTGGTCCACGATATAATTTGCTTGTGACATCCTTCTCCCTAAATGTTGAATCTTCAACCACTAGGGTCCCCACACTCCGATTTGACAAAGATTTGATGAGATATAAAGCACGGTGACTTAATAACTCAGCAGATAGAACCAAATGTCGGTACACACAAGGAATCTGTTCACTTTAGACATAATCCTCACATCGCTGAAGTTTGAACTTTGATCTCTTCTCTCAAATATTGCGATCTATTGAACCATTTGAGCTAAATTCATGCGGATAGAACATGTGGCATCCTCTCACGTGGGAAGGACACCCAAAGATAGTGGGAATACAAAAGTTCACTTTCGTATAAATAGCAATTTCCCTTGTAATTTTAGACAAGTAATCCACATTGAGAATAGTTAAATTATGTAAAACACATACTCTATAGCTGTAATATTTGATTTTATTTTTTTTTAATCTTTACATCGTTAAGATAATACAACTATAATAACATTCACGTTCTTCTAATTCATTACTTCTCGACAATTGTTATTATTGAGTTATAGACTTGATCAGTCGCCAACTTTAACAAACACCTTATCAATAATCCAACAATTATGATTCTAAATGAAAGGATTTTGATGTGATTTGATATATATCTCATAAAATTTATTAATTTCTTGATCATAATTTATATACCAAAGGAATATATAATTCAATATTCGCATTAAATTTCTTATGGAAAAAGGACTACCAAATTTGGCCTACAACTCTACATGATATTGTTATATATATATTGGGCATGTTTCAGGTTTCGTTTTATCTTTTTTTTTTTTTTTTTTTTTTTTCTTCTTGATTAAAAAAATAGGAAAAAGAAATGGTTAAGTCCAACTGAAGATTATTTAACTTTCTTTTTCTCCCTACTCCCTATCTGCCAAGTTGAAAAATCATGCTAAGAGAGGACATGCAGTTAGCTATGGCACTTTTGAGACCCACATTGCCACATTTTACCAAATAAAAAGGAAACTTTCAGATACGATTCTAACTCAACGAGAAATTATTGAATCATACTTAAATTAAAATCAAATTTTACTCTTGAAGTAGCTTTTATTTATGTGTCTGTATCATCTTAAAAAAGATTTGACGTTTGTGTAGAATAAATTTTGAATGTATTGTTAACCGCATATGATGTATTGAGATTTGTGAGGTCATCAACTAATTTCTATATTGACATTTGTGTAGTTTTTTGTGTTGATTGGATGAAAAACTTTTATAATCATGATGAGGAGTATGAGCTTCTGTTGGATTTCAACGCTGCACTATTGATATTGCACGGTCTTTTACCCATTACTTGTTAACCCTCACCCGGCCTACTGCTAGAGCAAGATTTTAAGAGGATCGATCGAACCGACCGATTTAATCTCGTGTGACAATTCATTTTTATATTGCAAATTCATTTTTAGTATATTACATGTCAAAATGAACATGTAGTACACTACAAATAAAATTACAATATATATTTTAAAAATAAACTTGTATCAATGCAAGATGGACCTCAATCCGAATATAAAAATTGGTACAATAATAAAACTTCCAACTTTATAGTTATATTACCAACCGTCATAAATTCCTAGGTTAAATAAGCAGTCATTTTTAATTTCTTGCTACTTGAATTGCGATGGAGTTTATATAGACAGCCATGGAATATACTAGATAGCAAATGTTAGGTGTAATGGTGGGTGATGTGTGTGTATATATAATTATATATATTGAAACAGACAAACAAAATTCAGTAGTGATCTCATGATTACGATGTTTTCGACAGTGATTTAACTATACACACATAATCGTGACAACAAGATCAAACTTGCCAATTAACTAGCTAATTTTACTTATTTATTTATTTATTTATTTGTGTTTTATATGATGAATGAATGCATGTACACTAAATTATAAATAATTAACTAACTCTAATAATAAGTACTAATTTTTTTGTTTTACTTATCATTTTATTAAGTCAATTAGACTTGTATGATTAAGCATATATATCCACCATATATGAAACGAACCATATACACGTTGAATTGTTTAGAAGTTTGGGAACAATGACGCTGAATCGAGTCTCACTAACAACAGTGTGAGAGCAATCTCTCAAAGAGCGAAGGGGGCTCGGGGGCTCCTTGTGCGCAGTAATTAAGTAAATGTCTAGTCTCTATGTTCAGCTGAGTTATCATAATTTATATTTTCTCAGATGCTCTGTCGAGTCGAGACGTGGAGGACCCTTGAGGTTAGGGATTCAATCTTTATGGGAACAATGAATTGTTAAGAATTAAGTTGGATGTTAAATGGTCTAGGTTTATGTAATCTTGCTTGTTGGTTTTCTTAGAGAAGTAAATCGCGTTAGGAAAAATGAAATTTTTTTTGCTTAGAACCAAATTGTATCAGCATGACCGAAGCATATACATATCTATCAGCCAATGCGTTGCATGTGATCTACATAGACCATCAAAACATTTTTTTAATTAATTGCAATAATTCATATGTCATCACATACATATTCTTATTATTATTAATCCTAAGAGAATAGACTTAAAGCTATCTGTTTAGCTGTTCAGATTTGGATAAAGTTTGGAAAAAAGCAAAATCATGGGACAAAGGGTTGTCGGTCTTTATGTCTTTATTGTCGTTGTTTTAAGCCACCTTAACCACAAAGCTTGTTTGTAATCGGGTACAATTTTAATTAAGTTGGTCAAATAATTAACTTGATAACTATAGAATTTTAAGTTTAATGTTCAATGAGGGTGACTATTAATCTTATTGATTTAATTTGGATCAATTAACTATGAATAACTTAGGTTGATTTATTTTGTCATTTATTTTCTTATGATATTTTACCATT